AGTATTTCTTTATTGCAAAATAAGCAACTCCTCTCACTGTTAGTAACCAAAGCCACCACCTTCTCTCTGTCCTCTTCCCTACCACTACACTTCCTTAATAAGTCATCTCAGCTCCCTGTCCCATTGCCTTCACATTCTCTCTCTCCTTAAGTACCTGCAGTCTGATAAAACTGCAGGGATAACAGGTTGGTAAAATTACTTACTCAAGTTTTCTTGTGAGAGTCCCCACATACAATGGTCTTGTTGAACTTCAGTATCTCAACTTTGTATCACTCTTCAATCTCTTACCTCTTCCTCCCTCTCCCACTTGCTGTCTCCTTAGAGAACCTTCATTCTCCCTCTTCTCCCTAGGTATTGATACATTATATTCTTTTTTCTTGTTTCTTTTTTGTTTTGTTTTGTTTTGAGATGGAGTCTTGCTGTGTCGCCCAGGCTGGAGTGCAGTGACGCAATCTCAGCTCACTGCAACCTCTGCCTCCCGGGTTCAAGCAATTCTCCCTACCTCAGCCTCCTGAGTAGCTGGGATTATAGGCGCCCACCACCACGTCCAGCTAATTTTTGTATTTTTTAGTAGAGACAGAGTTTCACCATGTTGGCCTGGCTGGTCTTGAGCTCCTGACCTCAGGTGATCCACCCACCTCAGCCTCCCGAAGTGCTGGGATTACAGGCATGAGCCACTGCGCCCCGCTGATACATTATATTCTTGATCAATATATCCTAGGTCAATGTATATCCTTGGTCTCATGTCTTTCTTCGTCAGACTCTCAGTCCCTTTTGCTAGAGTTTTGACAAATCCAGCAAGGAAGCCATATATCCTTGGTCAATATATATGACAGAGTTAAATATTGTCTTTCTCTTTTTTCTCAAATATGTCTCTAAAAGCAGCATTATCCATCCTAATAGTTTTCATCTATCATCTCTATTCAGAATATTTAACAAAAATCATAACATTTAATGAGTTTTTGTGTTGTGGCAGGTAACCTGTATATATTATCTCACTTAATTTTCAAAATGACCTTTACTAGCCCAGACATTTGAGTCCTCAAAAAATTAAGTGACTTTCACAAGGTCACACAGTCAGCAAAGGAAAGTCTGACCCCTGAGCAAATCATCTTCATTGTTATGCTCGACTGCCCAGCAACACCAGGCTCCATTTCAACCTCCTCAGGAATCACTCCTGATCACCCAGTGTGATGTGGTCCCTTCATTTGCATCATCCTGTGATATTCACATTTTGCTCTATGTTATGGTCATTTGTGTCCCCACCACAAACACACACATACACACACACACACACCCTATTGCACTATCAATTCTGGGGGAAACATACTGCATTTATTGATTTCATATCTCCTCTAATGTTAGCCTAGGACAGCCAGTAAAAGAGCTACCTGTTGAACAGAAGAATAATTGTCTGTAAAGGGCTCCTTGCATATTCCAGTTTATTTCAAGATATGACAGAACGCAGGAAGTAAACAAACCCCAGGATGTCACAGTATCCCAAACGACTAGATACTGTAGGCATTGTGGCTCAGGATCTGTTTATTTTTAAGGCTGTGAAAGAAAAGGTAGAACAAGCCAAAGCGTATTACAAATAACAGTGCTTATCTGCAGTAATAACAAGTGCTTAATAAATGTAAACTTATTAAGCAAGATTTTATACTTCATTTACTTTGATAGGATGAAATTTTATATTTCAAGGTAACTATCCAACAACAGATTAGGGAATTCCTCCTGGGAGGTGTGACTGACTTCAATTATAAGTAAAAGAATATAGTGAGTCACTAGCTGTCTTTTAAGGAGACCAATACATTTCCAGACAACTTTTTTCTCTGTGAAGGTATCTCATTTTTCCTCTGCCAAATAAAATTAATTAAGTGACATTAAATTAAAAATGTATCTATTTACATGAGAGGACAGTAGATACTGGTTTGAGCTGACGAACATTGTTGAAATTTTCTCCTTCGTTTTATTACTTTCTTTCGGAACAAGTCACAGGGGCAAATAAATAGTTACATATAGTCCCAGTCTGTGCAACCAACTGAGGGTTTTATTTGCATCTAGGTAGACTATCTGTGATGTACGGTGCAGGGTTGCCTCAGAGCCAGTTCAAGCAGAAACTGCCTATGGATTTCAAGGGAAAAGTGCCACTTGATTTGGTTACATGTGAAGCTCAGAAATGAAGATGGGTCCAGGAAAGGAAAAAGAGAAAACCTGCTGATTGCCATGGGTTGGACTTGAATGTCCTCACATTTTCTGTCTTTATATACACCCACATAACTTAGCCATTCTCTAAGTCAGCCAAAGGGGTTAATTTGTGAGCAAGTTAAATTAAGGTTCTGAGGTCACCTACACTGGGTTCTCTTTATTCACTCTTTTTCTTCTGTGGTACCCTAAAAAGCACTGTGTCCACAAATTCTGTCCCAAGCCTACTGCTCTCCCCTCTTTATGATTTGTGCCTTATTCACCTTCAACCATGACTTAAACTGTGGCCCATAGTAATTGACTCAGTCAGGGTATTTCTTTTCTCCTACATTCCTCAGTGCTCTGGGAATTTATGCAGGCAATTACCACCCCCAAATTAGCACGTTCTGTACAGACTCATCATGTCTTCTCTCCAAAAAGCAGCCCTCCTTCCAAATCCTTATTTCTTCTCATCAAGAATATTATACTGCTCCTTGCAGATAGTTTTCTTTCTCCTCTTCCTTGACTTCATATCTAATCAGTTTAAAAGTTCCGACAAGTCTTCCTTCATGAGACTCTGAGTCCCTTCTGCTAGAGTCTGGACAAATCCGACAAGGAAGCCAATTTTATGTCCCTGTGATGCAGAAAGATGCGGGAGGTGGATCTTAAGTGGGCCAGGAGGTCACCTGGAATTGTGGAGATCAATGTAGTCCAAAGGTCAAGTGCAGAACAGACCCAAGGAAAGGAGCCAAAGGTTTGTACTAAAATAGCATAGCAAGATCAGCCATCCATCAGACCTACATGACTGGTGTAAGGACGTAGTTAGAGGGAGGAGTAGGAATGGAGTCTGTCTTGTTCATCTTTGAATTCCCAGTGCTGAACATGTTGCTTGCTCATGGAAGGCATGCAACAAATGTCCTATATACAGGTCAAGAGTATAACTTTTACTCAAGACTCCATATTAACAAATGCTCTTTCATTTTCATTATTTTATACCATCAAGTAGTGTTTGCGATGACGCACTAGACGGGAACATCCACCACTGTTAGTTTGGGGTATCTATAGAGGTAACCTGAAATAATAAATAAATAAGGAAGCAAGTCATCTTAATAATATTTTGTGTTTTGACTTAAGAATTCAAATGTTAGATATCACTATAAAAAGGCTTTTAAAAATTTCTTAAAGGATAATAATGTAGAGATTTAAAATATTCATCTACCAGACTGATTTGCTTTTCATCTATTTTATGGTTTGGGATAAAACTTCCAGTGACTAAATCACAGAGATTCCAAAAATTCTGCTTCTCAAACAATGTAGAGGGAATGAAGATAATATGTGCTGGAAAACTGGGTTGATTATAATGACAAAGATTGGGAAAATGGCAAAAACAGTATTTCAAATGTACATGATTTAATATAATAAATCATTCTACATACATATATATGTATAAGCTAAGTTGGTACATCAAATATTAGTAGAGATTTGACAACTTTTTGTAAATCACTAAAAGCTATGTATTGCAAGTGTTGAAAACATTTTTTGTGTGTCACCTCATTAAGAAATGGGGAATCTGCAGATTGATTTATATTTATTGAATGAAACAATAAGTGAATGTATAAATATTTATTAAGGACTAAAACAATTAAATATTAGCATTAGAAATATGTATTTACTAATCAATTGACCAGACATTGTTTGACCTACTATGTGCAAATCAATTAAACAGTCATCAGAATGGTTTGGTGCTAAAAGTCTACTTTCTACTGAAAAGTGAAATAAAACAGACAATTTTTAAAACTTTTTACTACGAAAAATTTCAGGCATACAGAAGAGTAGAAAAAAATATGTAATGTACACCTGTATACTCTCCATCCAGATTCAAGAGTTAACATTTCTCAAAGTTGCTTTATGTTTTTATGCAATTTTGACAAACCACTTTAAAGAGAACTACAGCTGTTATAATGCTTTGCCCCTTAATACTTCAGCGTGCATCTATAAAGATTAAAACATTCTGTGATATAACTAAAAATATCTCTATCTTCCCTAACAAAATTAATAAATTCTTTAATAAGATATATATACGGTCCTCATTTGGATTTCCACAGTTGTTCAAAGTTTGTCGTTCACCTGGTTTTTCACACAAAAATTACAGAAAGAAAACAGAATTTGATGAAGGAACACACACTGGATTTACTTGTTTCTCTTAAGTCCTCTCGTCCACCCTTCTTTTATCAGAAATGACTTTTTTAAAAGATCAGGACAGTTGTCCTATAGAAAGCTCTACATTCTGGATTATCTGGTTGTTTTCACATAAGGTCATTTACCATGTTCCTTTAGGCTAGTGTTTCTTGTAAAATGGAAGTTAGACATAAGAGCTTGACTAAGTTCAGGTTAAATATTTCATAGGTTTGCTGTGTATTGAATATTACACATAACGGGAGTGTAGAGTGGCTGCTTGTTCCAACACTTATGATATAATTTGATCACCTGGTTAAGGTAACGACCCCAAGTTTGTGATTAGGAAGTAAGCTATGGGGTCATACTTCAGCAACTCGCAAATAAGCTCTTCCTCATTAACTCTTCACACAGTGGTTTGAGTTTCTGTTGAGAACTTTTGCTTGAATCAATTATGTTACTACAGCTTGTAAAACAAAGTTTGAATTTTTGATTTCCCTCTTCAATGATCAGTTTCTAATTTTTTTACAATCTTAAATATGGCCTTTGGAATTTAAAGGGTTGAAAGATGACAGTTTTAAGTATCATAGTATATTTGTAACAGGAGAATGCTAACCTTGGATTTTCTTTTGTGTTTTCAGCAAAATGGGAGGACACATTTTTATGATAAGCTCATTGTTGAATCCTTTGAAGAAGCACCCCTTCATGTTATGGTTTTCACTTACATGGGGTATGGAATTGGAACCCTGTTTGGCTATCTCAGAGACTTTATGAGAAACTGGGGAATAGAAAAATGCAATGCAGCCGTGGAACGAAAAGAACAAAGAGTACGTATGCACACCTCCCTGGATCTTTGTCAATGCCTACTACTCTCTAAAGTGTTCTCAGAAGTGGTGATACAGGTGCAGATCCTAGAAAGCATGAGGTGCTCAGGAACTACTCAGTGTAAATTTCATTCATCTCCACTTCCTAAACCCCATTCCCCATGGGTTTATGGACCTGTTTTTACAAACATCTCATGGGCAACTACTATTTGCCAGATACTGAACTAAGGCTTTTCCCATACCTTATAATATTTAATTTTTGTAACAACCCCATGAGATAGATATTAAAATATAATTTTGAAAATAAAAACATCAAAATATAAGAGCAAGTGCTCCTGGGTGGGACTGTACTTTGGTCTTCTAGTTGTAAGTTGGGTATTACTTATGCTCTATCCTGAAAAGGAAAGTGCATTTGAGTGAACTGGGACATTTTTATTTCATCTAAATCTGATTTCTCACCTTTAACACTATTAATATTTTGAACCAATTCTTTGGGCATTGTAAGAATTTTAACAGCATCTGAAAACTATAGCATTAAACCACCAAAGCTAAGGACCCTCATGGAGTCCATTGCACCCTCCACTACCTCTACTGAAACAGGCACTGGTATCCAATGCTGAGAGACCCATAGACGGTTCACATCACAGGACTCTGTGGAGACAAACCCCAGTACCAGTCTGGAGCCAGGTAGACTCGGTGGGTGGCTAGACCCAGAAGAGAGACAACAATCACTGCAGTTCAGCTCACATGAAGCCACATCCATAGGAAAAGGGGGAGAGTAATACATCAAGGGAACACCCTGTGGGACAAAAGAATCTGAACAACAGTCTTCAGCCCTAGACCGTCCCTCTGAAAGAGCCTACCCAAATGAGAAGGAACCAGAAAACCAACCTTGATAATATGACAAAACAAGGCTCTTCAGCACCCCCCCAAATATCACACTAGTTCACCAAAAATGGATCCAAATCAGGAAGAAATCCCTGATTTACCTGAAAAAGAATTCAGGAGGTTATTAAGCTAATTAGGGAGAGGCCAGAGAAAGGCAAAGCCCAATGCAAGAAAATGCAAACAAAAAGATACAAGAAGTGAAGGGAGAAATATTCAAGGAAATAGATGACTTAAAGTAAAAACAATAAAAATTCAAGAAAACTTTGGACACACTTTTAGAAATGCAAAATGCTCTGGAAAGTCTCAGCAATAGAATTGAACTAGTAGAAGAAAGAAATTAGAGCTTAAAGACAAGGTCTTTGAATTAACCCAATTCAACAAAGACAAAGAAAAATGAATAGGAAAATATGAACAAAACCTCCAAGAAGTCTGGGATTATGTTAAACAACCAAACCTAAGAATAATCAGTGATCCTGAGGAAGAAGAGAATTCTAAAAGCTTGGAAATCAAATTTGGGAGAATAATTGAGGAAAACTTCCCTGGCCTTGCTAGAAACCTAGACATGCAAATACGAGAAGCACAAAGATCACCCAGGAAATTCATCACAAAAAGATCTTCACCTAGGTACATTGTCATCAGGTTATCCAAAGGAAGTCATTTTAAGAGCTGTGAGACAGAAGCACCAGGTAATTTATAAAGGAAAACCTATCAGATTAACAGCAGATTTCTCAGCAGAAACCGTACAAGCTAAGAAGGAATTAGGGCCCTATCTTCAGCCTCCTCAAACAAAACAATTATCAGCCAAGAATTTTGTATACAGCAAAACTAAGCATCATATATGAAGGAAAGATACAGTCATGATGCTCAGACAAACAAATGCTGAGAGAATTCATACCAAGCCACCACTACAAGAACTGATAAAAGGAGCTCTAAATATTGAAACAAATCCTGGAAAACAGAGCTTCTTTAAAGCATAAATCACACAGGACCCATTAAAACACACACACACACACACACACACACAAGTTAAAAAGCAAAACCAAAAAAGAAAAAAACCCAAAGTACACAGACAACAATGAGCATGATGAATGTAATGATACCTCACATTTCAATACTAACATTGAATGTAAATTGCCTAAATGATCCACCTAAAAGATACAGAACCACAGAATGGGTAAGAACTGACCAACCAACTATCTGCTGCCTTCAGAAGACTCACTTAACATATAAGGATTCACATAAACTTAAAATAAAGGGGTGGAAAAAGGCATTTCATGCAAATGGACACCAAAAAGAGAGCAGGGGTAGTTATTCTAATATCAGACAACTTTAAGCAACCGTGGTTAAAAGAAACAAAGAGGAACATCACGTAATGGTAAAAGGCCTCGTCCAACAGGAAAATATCATAGTCCTAAACATATATGCACCTAACACTGGAGATCCTAAATTTATTTATTTATTTATTTATTTTGAGACAGGGTCTCACTCTGTCACCCAGACTGGAGCGCAGTGGCATGATCTCGACTCACTGCAAGCTCCGCCTCCCGGGTTCACACCATTCTCCTGCCTCAGCCTCCCAAGTAGCTGGGACTACAGGCACCTGCCAACATGCCCAGCTAATTTTTTGTATTTTTAGTAGAGACGGGGTTTCATCATGTTAGCCAGGATGCTTTTGACCTCCTGACCTCATGATCTGGCCACCTCGGCTTCCCAAAGTGCTGGGATTACTGGTGTGAGCCACTGTGCCCAGCCTGGAGATCCTAAATTTATAAAGCAATTACTAACAGACCTGAGAAATGAGATAGCCAGTAACACAATAATAGTGGGGGACTCCAATACTGCACTGACAGCACTAGACAGGTCATCAAGACAGGAGGTCAACAAAGATACAATGGATTTAAACTATACCTTGGCACAAATGGATTTAACAGACATATACAGAACATTCCATCCAACAACCACAGAATACACATTCTATTCAACAGTACATGGAACTTTCTCCAAGATAGACCATATGATAGGCCACAAAACGAGATTCAATAAATTTAAGAAAATTGAAATAATATCAAGCACTCTCTCAGGCCACAGTGGAATAAAACTGGAAATCAACTCCAAAAGGAAGTTTCAAAACCATGCAAATACATGGAAATTAAATAACTTGCTCCTGAATGAGCACTGGGTCAAAAACAAAATCAACATAGAAATTAAAAAATTCTTTGAAGTGAATGACAATAATGACACAACTTATCAAAACCCAAGGCAGTGCTAAGAGAAAGTTCATAGCCCTAAACTCCTACATCAAAAAGTCTGAAAGAGCACAAATAGACACTCTAAGGCCACACCTCAAGGAACCAGAGAAACTTGAACAAACCAAATGCAAACCCAGCAGAAGAAAGGAAATAACCAGTGTGGCTGGCAAGATGGGCTGCAGCTCCCAGAAAGATCAATGCAGAAGGAACATGATTTCTGCATTTCCAACTGAGGTACCTGGCTCATCTCACTGGGACTGGTTAGACACTTGGTGCAGCCCACAGAGGGCAAGTCGAAGCAGGGTGTAGCATTGCCTCATCTGGGAAGTGCAAGGAACTCCCTCGCCTAGCCAAGAGAAGTGGTGGGGGACTGTGTCACAAGGAACAGTGCATTCTGGTCCAGATACTATTTCCCCCAGTCTTTGCAACCCGCAGACCAGGAGATTCCCTCGGGTGCCTACACCACCAGGGCCCTGGGTTTCAAGCACAAAATTGGGCAGCCATTTAGGCAGACAGCAAGCTAGCTGCAGGAGTTTTTTTTTCACACCCCAGTGGCACCTGGAACACTAGCAAGACAGAACCGTTCACTCCCCTGGGAAGAGCGTTAAAGCCAGGGAACCAAGTGATCTAGTTCAGCAGATCCCACTGCCACCGAGCCCAGCAAGCTAAGATCTACTGGCTTGAAATTCTTGCTGCCAGCACAGCAGTCTGAAGTCGACCTGGGACACTTGAGCTTAGTGGCAGGAGGGGTATCCACCATTATTGAGGCTTGAGTGGGCCGTTTTCTCCTTACAGTGTAAACAAAGCCTCAGGCGGGGTGAGGGGGCGGGGGAGTTTGAATTGGGCGGAGCCCACGGCAGCTACTCAAAGCCGCTGTAGCCAGACTGCCATTCTAGATTCCTCCTCTCTGGGCAGTATATATTGCTCGGGTGATATATGCACCAAAATCTCACAAGTCACCACTAAAGAACTTACTCATGTAACCAAATACCACCCCAGTCAGGGGTTTACAGATAAAACTCCCATCTCCCTGGGACAGAGCACCTGGGGGGAAGGGGCAGCTGTGGGTGTAGCTTCAGCAGACTTAAACGGTCCTGCCTCCTGGCCCTGAAGAGAGCAGCAGATCTCCCAGCACAGTGCTCCAGCTCTGCTAAAGGACAGACTGGCTCCTCAAGTGGATCCCTGACCCCCATGCCTCCTGACTGGGAGACACCTCCAGGCAATGAGCATGATGAATGTAATGATACCTCACATTTCAATACTAACACTGGCAAACAGGGTCTGGAGTGGACCTCCAGCAAACTCCAGCAGACCTTCAGCAGAGGAGCCTGACTGTTAGAAGGAAAACTAACAAACAGAAAGGAATAGCATCAACATCAACAAAAAGAACATCCACACAAAACCCCCATTCGCAGGCTACCAACATCAAAGACCAAAGGTCGATAAATCCATGAAGATGAGGAAAAACCAGCGCAAAAAAGGCTGAAAACCAGAATGCCTCTTCTCCTCCAAAGGATCACAACTCCTGGCCAGCAAGGGAACAAAACTGGACGGAGAATGAATTTGATTAATTGACAGAAGTAGGCTTCAGAAGGTGGGTAATAACAAACTCCTCGGAGCTAAATGAGCATGTTCTAACCCAATGCAAGGAAGCTAAGAATCTTGAAAAAAGGTTAGACAAATTGCTAACTAGAATAACCAGTTTAGAGAAGAACATAAATGACCTGATGAAGCTGAAGAACACAGAACAAAAACTTCGTGAAGCATACACAAGCATCAATAGCTGAACTGATCAAGCGAAAGAAAGGATATCAGAGATTGAAGATCAACGTAATGAAATAAAGCGTGAAAACAAGATTAGAGAAA